CGACGAAGCCAACTCGGAAAATATGAAAGCGAATCTGGACCTGCTTGAAGAACACCGTATTCGGTCCGAACTCAAGAATGCTGCATACAAGCAAAGAAATGAAAGATACATCAATTCTAAACTCAAACCTCGAGCGTTCCGGGTTGGAGATTTGGTCCTCAAGCGAATCATGTGGCCTGACCCCGGACCACTCAAACCGCGGTGGGAAGGACCCTTTCAAATCATCAAAATTCTACCTCATGGGGCCTACCGAATTGCTCATCCCGATGGAACACCACATCAATATCCTTGGAACGCGGTGTACTTGAAAAAATTCTATCAGTGAAGGATCCGAAGTCGCATAATCGACCTCCCTTTTGTACGGACCTTCTCTTTTGCCTCGGTGAATGCCCGAAATCATCTCTTTTGATGTACTGAATAGCCTATCAGTTTATATATTTTGGAAAGTCGAACACCAAACTCGATGCCGAAGTAAACCTTTCGAAATGCGGTTAAATATATCATGCCGATGTAAACATTGCGACACTCGGTCTAGCTGATACCCCGTAATACATCCAAACCCCACGTATGGTTTGGTTGGGGTTGAAGCTCGTCAAACGTCACTTCAGCTAACATGATTTGACGGGTCCCGATTATTACCTAACACTCATTTAAACAACTCGGTTGGGGCCATTCCATAATCGGACTCTGACGAAGTCCGGTGACTTCCATTTTGTTTCCTGTACAGCCCTAAAAATGTGTTGAGTTCTGCGAAGTTATCTGAAAACTCGCATAATCGACTCACACTTGTGGCTGAGATTCTTATAAATGATCAAAGTGGAATTCGGAAGTTATCTTTATAAAAACTTACAACTCGGATCATGATTTAAGTAATTCCGAGTTGAAGCAGTTTATTTTCTACTGAAAACCGAATTCAAAACACTTGGTCGAAAATCGCTGAAATTTGTACAGCAATACACACAATCAAAATCAGACATACTCAAACATTTCATATATAATATTATTTCGAAAAGTCTGGGGAATCCCTTACATAATATTTCCTACTAAGGAAGTCGGCTATCCGACATCCCCGATTACACACCATAAACGTTTAAATATGTCCTACTAAGGATGCCGACATGCCGGCACCCCGATTATCTTATGTCAATCAATAAGCAAAGAAAATAACAAAGACAAAACACAAGAAAATCAATCCTGGACCTCCTCGGTTGGTTTCTCCACATTCTCTCCGGTGCCACTGCTTTCGCCGACTTCAATCCAGGAAGATAGTCGCTCCAGGACCTGCGATTCCTTCATCTTGGCAACAGCCTCAATAGCCCCATCTGGCACCGGAATAAGATCATCACGAGGGTCGGTTAGCTTCTCCGCATCGTCTCCAACCGGTGTGACCACTTTCACAATTTCCACCTCCTTATCGGCCAACCTCGTCT